AGAAAGAAAGAAAGAAAGAAAGAAAGAAAGAAAAAGAAAGACTGACTTAAACTGGGGAGAAGAGAGAAGTGGACAGAGACACCTCATCTAAACACACGCATGGGTTTATACTCAGGAAGAAGCCAGGTGCCCACCTTGAAGCTGCCCAAGCTAGCGAACACCTTTTACTGAGAGCATGCTCATTTGGGGGTAGGGATGGAGTCACAGAACGCCCAGTGAGGAATACTGGGGCAGGATTTAAGTGGTAAGAACAGCCAGTAGGTGGAGATGTGCCGAGAGACAGAGTTGAACCAGCAAGGGGTGGGGCCACAAGGAGTAAATGTAGCTCATTTTTCCTTCTTTCCTCCTGTCCCGGTCTGCTCACATTGCAGAATGTAGTGCTGACTTCTGGGGCAGGGCCGAGACTGGAGCTGCCCGTGGCCTTGGGACTCCCTCTTCAGCTGAAGCTGGCCGCATCCACAGTGATCCTGAGCCAGGGGCCAAAGACGGAGGTCTTTGCTATGCCTGCAGAGGTCCTCGGCCCTCTCTTCAAGCTCTGGGCCCAGCCGCAGGGCCGCCTCTTCCTGGGCGCTTTACCAGGTAAGAGAATGCCGTTCATTTTTTCAGCACACCAAGGGAGTCAGCAAAGGGCGGGCCACACTGTGAGAGGAAGGAGACGTCTGGAAGAGAAGAAAAGGGCACAGAAGAGGTGATAGGACTTGGGGGCATTCAACTGTAGAGTGCTTAGCCTGCATGAGGCCTTGAGTTTTATCCCCATCACCTCAGTAAAAAGAAAAGCAATAGGATATGAGGGCAGTGGGAGGAAGTGTTTTAGGAAACTGGGGTTAACAAACTGGAGCTATGGGGGAGCTGCTGTATCCAAGCCACCTTCACATTCTAATCCCAGCTCTATGCCAACTCCCTCCAGGAGAAGACTCTTCTGCCTCCTTTTGCTTGGATGGCCTTTGGGCACAAGGACAGAAACTGGACATGGATCGGGCCCTGAGCAGAAGCCAGGATATCTGGACTCATAGCTGCCCCCAGAACTCAAGCAATGACACTGATCTTTCCAATTAAAGCTCCTTTGAATATGACTCCTTCATTTATTCAGCAGGTATTTACTGTGCACCAGCAATGGGCCAGGCCCTGTGCCAAGCACTGAGGTGTTAAATAGCAAAGAAAACAACCTTCTTGGTGCTGACAGGCCCAGGGAAGGAGCAGGTCTGCATCACAGATAGGTGGCTAACTGGAAACCGATGCAAACTATGAAAGAACAATCAGAAAGTTGTGAAAGGCTGGATGTGGTAATCCTAATCCCATTTCTGTAATCCCAGCAATTGGGAGGCTAAGGCAGGAAGATCACTGTGAATTCAAAGCCGGTCTGGGCTACAAAGTGAATTCAAGGCCAGCCGAAACTGCATAATGAAACCCTATTTTAAAAAGACAAACTGGGGATGTAGCTCAGCGGCACAAGTGCCTGCCTGGCAAGCACAAGGTCCTCAGTTTGATTCCCAGTACCAAAAGAAAAAAAAAAATTAATTAACTTATAAAAAAAAAAGACAAAAAAGCTGGGCATGGTGGCACGTGCCTGTAATCCAGGCACTCAGGAGGCTGAGGCAGGAGGATTGTTGCAAGTTCGAGACCAGCCTCAGCTACAAAGTGAGCTCAAGGACAGCCTGAACTGCATAGTGAGACCCTGTCTCAGAAAGACCCCCCCCCCAAAAAAAAAGTTGTGAAAGCTTGGAGGCTAAGATTTCCATAACCTAGTCTGAGAGTCAGGAAGGGATTCCCTCAGGATGTGGTAATTTGGTCTGAGGTCCAAGCAGCAGCACCCACAACCACACACATGAGTATGGGCCACCTCCCCAAAGCCAGGATCCCCTCCTCTTCTTAAGCATCTACTCCCTCTGGGATTCCAACCTCTAGTCTCCCAGATCAGGATGAAATTTTGTTCTCTCATTCTGGCCTTGGATTGGCCACTGCTGTTCAGGAAAGGATCAGCAGGGGGCGTGAGAAGGTTACAGACAGATGGGGCAGGGTATGAGAGATGGAGTAGAGCCTGGGAGAAAGAAAAAAAAGGAGACTGAGAGTGTAGCTCAGTGGTAGAGCACTTACCTGGCACATGAGAGGCCTCATGTTCTATCCTCAGCCCTGGGAAAAAACAAAAAAGCCGGGCACAGTGACACATACCTGTAATCCCAGCTCTTTTGGAGGGGTATTGCAAGTGTGAGGCCTAGGCAACCTAGCAAGATCCAAGCAAAAAGTAAATAACAATAAATAAATAAATAGAGTTAGGAGAAATAACGCAGTGGTAGAGTGCTTACTTAGCATTTGTGGAGCTCTGCATTCTATTCCCAGCTCTGCAAAAAAAAAAAAAAAAAAAAAAAAGAAATGAAAGCCAGGTTTAGTGACACACACCCGTAATCCCAGTTATTCCAGAGGTAGAAGCAGGGGGATCATAAATAAATTTGAGGCCAGTCAGGACAGTTTAGCAAACACAAGACCTTGTCTCAAAATAAAAAAATAGAAAGGGCTGAGCATATAGCTTAGTGGTGGTGGTGGGGAGGGCTGGGGAGTAGCTTAGCAGTAGAGGGCCCCTAAGTCCGATGATCCTCAGTACAGGAAAGAAAGGAAGGAAAGAAAGAGAAAAGAAAAGAAAAGGGAAGGGAAGGAAAATGGGCAGAGGAGAAAATTGTCTCTATCTTTTCTAGTCTCTGTCTTTGCTATGTTCCTGGGGGAATTTGTCTCTAATCCGTTAAATACGAACTGGTTTGTGCTGGTCCCACTTGGAAAGAACAGGTAGATTTGGGACAAGCTCTGCCCTCAAACAATACAGTGATTGAGCCTTCAGCCCTCAGATTTTTGGAGAGTCTTGGTGCTCCAGTCCTTCCTTCCTTTTTCTTTTTCTTTTTTTTTTAGGTACAGGGAATTGAACTCAGGACCTTGTGCTTGCCAGGCAGGCACTTGTACCACTGAGCTATATCCCCAGCCCCCTCCAATCCTTCCTTGGGGAACTTTTGTGCCCAAGCCCCCAGTCACCAATCTCTAGCTTCCAGTCTTCAGCCCTCTTCAGAATTCTTGTGTCCCAGCTTGCTAGGGAGCTCTAGGGCTTTTACCCTCAGTCCCTACCTCTCAACCCTCATTCTTTTCAAGAACATTCCCATATCTCCAGATCCCCTGGGAATCCCAGTATTCCAATTTTTTTTTTTTTTTTTTGAGACAGGGTTTTGCTATGTAGTTCAAGCTGACCTTAAAAGTCAAGGTGATCCTCCTGTCTCAGCCTCCTGAGTGCTGGGATTATAGGTGAGTGCCACTGTGCCTGGCAAGCCTGCCAATTTTTTTTTTTACAAGGTTGTGGTTACTGGTAACTAAGACAACAAGATGTCAGTCATTGGTTCTGTTTTTCCTTTCTGCAAGGATCAGCTGGAATTTAAGTGACCCCAGGGAAAAGAGGTTTCAGAGCCCTGTCTGTACCCCCTTGGGCTTTACCCCTCTCAACCTTTATTCTATAGACTTTTGTGGGACCTACAACTGCCTCCTCCAACCCAAAGGTATTTGTGGGAATGTCCGTAGTATGGCAAAGGAATCCAAATTCTTTTTTTTTTTTT